GCCGCTCCACCCCGTGACGCACGGGGCCCGCCCCCCAGCTGCCCACCTCTCGCGGGATCTCCCGGGAGGACGGATGGGGTCAGGCCCCATCATGGCGGCAGAGGAGGCGGATGTGGATATCGAAGGGGATGTGGTGGCAGCGGCGGCACAGCCAGGGTGAGGTGTAGAGACCGGGTCCCGCAGGGACGCAGAGGGGCGCGGATGCGCGGAGAGTGCCTTGGAGAGGCCGCGGGTGTGTCAGGGGCCAGGGGAGCGGAAGAACCCCCGTGTTCACGGGGTGTCCCGGAGCAGAAGGGCCGCGCCCATCCCGCCGGCCGGCTGCTCCCGCCCCACGGCTAGCTACCGGGGGCTCGGGTTCGTGTCGGACGCTCTTTCACATTTTACCGGGATGCTGTGAGCATGCGGGCTTCGCCTAGCACGTTGCAATTAGACTCCTTCCATTACCCGCGCCTCAGAATCTCGCCATAATTCGCCCTTTGCCCCCGCCTGACAGTAACTAGAACCCGGGCGGCCCGGGACGGGCCCTGCGCTCTGGGACCCCTGTTCCAGTATCTGCCAGCCTGTGACCTTGGGCGTGCCGTTTCATTCCCCCTGGCCACAGGTTTACTCTTCCACCCAGTGGTTCTCAACCTTCTGGCCCTTTAAGTACAGTTCCTCATGTTGTGACCCAACCATAAAATTATTTTCATTGCTACTTCATAACTGTAATGTTGCTACTGTTATGAATCGTAATGTAAATATCTGATATGCAGGATGGTCTTAGGCGACCCCTGTGAAAGGGTCGTTCGACCGCCAAAGGAGTCACGACCCACAGGTTGAGAACCGCTGAAAGGCTTAGCTGTGGAACACTTCCGAGAGACAGCTGGGCTTTGAGGCACGGGTAGGACTGCGCCTGCGCGGGACAGCTCTGGGTTCTTCTGCATTGCCGACCCTTCCCGTTACTACAGTGTGGCCTTGGGCCCGACGTTTAGCTTGTCACATCCTCTGACAGCCCATGTGTAAACTGACAGTCATGAGACGTACCGCATGCGGTTATTGCGAGGAGCCAATGAAATAATCACGGGGTGCATTTTTGCCTGTGATAGGTGTTCTGTAAACGTACTCTTTACCGTCCCGTTACTCCGAGGGATGGTATTGTGAGGACCCAGCGAGGAGTCAGCACTTACTTAATACTGATTCCCGATTCCTGCATCGCAGGCCAATGTGGTTTTGAAACAACAATGTCCAGACTAAGCGGTTGCGCCCTTTCATTCCTTGCTTTCTGAGAAGAAATTGATACATGCCATAAAAAAAAAAGTGCTTCCAGAGTCTCCTTTTAGTAATGGAAGAGGCCTAGACTGATGAGGAATCAAAAGAATTCGTTCCAAACTCAGCCAGCTGTGTTGCTTATAACTATGAACAGCTTTATTAGAACTCTATTAGGTTGAACCATGTGAAATTTTCAATCTTGGAGCATTTTTTACCTATAAAGTGGCGATTTCATATGGTCCAGTCTAATAATGGGGCCTCTGTAAATGGTGGAGAAGAATAGTAACTCTTGACAATGAAGGAACAAGATAGAGGGTTTAAAGTGCTGGTGAACGCTAAAGCACTGTAAAAATGTGTGGAGTAATTAAATTCATATATAGTCTTTTTTCCCAAAGTCTTTAGGTAAAGCAGTCCAAAGTTATACAAAATGAGTAGAGAGCCTATTTTATTAACAATTACTGTTCACATTTGTGTAGGTCAAGTTAATCTTGACCAAGCGCTTTTGCTTGCATGATTTAATTTACTTTTCACAAGAAGTCTATGAAATCAGTGGGCAAGGATACTTACTTACAGTCAAGAGAGAAATAAGTTGAACTGGGAAACACTAAAGATCATCTGAGAGCATTGGCTCTACCCCTTTTCCATAGGTTCTTCTTTATTTTTCTTACTAGAGGCCCGGTGCATGGATTCATGCACTGGTGGGGTCCCTCGGCCTGGCCTGCACCCTCTCGCAATCTGGGACCCCCTCGGGGGATATCTGACTGCCGGTTTCAGCCCGATCCCTTCAGGCCAGGCCGAGGGACCCCACCGGTGCACGAATCCGTGCACTGGGCCTCTAGTATGCACGTAAGATCTTTGGTTAATCTCTTCCCGCCCTCTCCCCTCCCCCCTTCTCTCTGAGATTCATCAGTCTGTTCCATGTTTCCATGCCTGTGTGTTGAGCATCTGCCCCCTGGTGGTCAGTGTACATCATAGCTACCGGTCGAATGGTTGAACAGTCAAATGGTCGCTTAGGCTTTTATATATAGATTGTATTTACTTTTTCTCCCCCCCCCCCACCCCATCTTCTCTTCTTACTCTGTTTGAGCTTTAGGTCTATTGGTGGCACCTATGATCATCTTAGTCTTATGCAGGAAGGATTGCAAAGGTTATTGGTTCCTGGTGGTCAGAGTCATTGCTTTACCATCTCCAAGGAGTATCAGTGACATTATATTCTGGGGAATCGTGCCCCCTGATGTGATTTATCAACTTTACGATGGTGCAAAAGTAATAAGCATTCAATAGAAATCGTACTTCCAATTTTGAATTTTGATCTTTTCCTAGGCTAGTGATATGCAAGTACGATACTCTCGTATGATGCTGGGCATTGGCAGCAAGTTGTAACTCCTAAACAGGCACTAGATCACAAGGGTAAACAACAGATACTCCTACAGTGAACTGTGTTGCCAGCATTTTTTGGATATTGTATTCTGAGCATGTTTAAGGTAGGCTAGGCTAAGCTATCATGTTTGTTAGGTTAGGTGTATTAAATGCATTTTTTACTTAGGATGGGTTTATCAGGACAAAACTCCATCATAAGTCAAGGAGCATTTGCACTTGCTAAGTGCTAGGTACCCGAGTTAGAAGGTGGCATTGAAACTTTTTTCCTTTCTATTTCTCCTACCATTCCTTATCATCCTCCTTTTCTTCTGCTTGTCCTTTAAATCAGGGGTCCTCAAACTATGGCCCGCGGGCCACATGCGGCTCACCGAAAACATTTATCTGGCCCGCCGGGTGTTTTTGCCGCTGCTGCCTGTTGCTGAATTTGTTCATATTTTTTTTTTAAACTATAGTCCGGCCCTCCAATGGTCTGAGGGACATTGAACTGGCCCCTGTCTAAAAAGTTTGAGAACCCCTGCTTTAAATCATAGTGTTTTAGGTGGTTTTGTCATAAGACTTCTACTCAGTAACTACATACTAGTAGTCCCTGGTGATACCATATCTCAAGACTTAAATTTCTGTTTGTTGGGTTGGACAATATGAAAGTTTGTCAATGACCGTTTCATAAGTTCACCTAATACATGTTGATCTTTCCCAACCTCCTGCCAACCCAAATCTCTCCCGATCTTCAGATCCATTTATCCAACTTTCTCAGTCTGTTTGCATTTGGATGTTCCACAAGTCCCTCAATCTCAGCTTATAAACCTTCCCCACCACATGTGCCTCTCTGGGTTCCCTACTTCAGTAAATGGCACCATCCACCCAGTCACCCAAGGAACAGACCTATATGTATTCTTTTCCTTACCTCTCTCCTTCCACTTCTGTCAGTTATGAAGGGTCTGTTGATTCTTAGTATCCTCTCAAATGTATTCACTTCTTCCTATTCACACTGCTTGTTCTCTAGGTCTAAGTTACTGTCACCTTTTTCTAGTGCTAATACTGTAAACACTCCCTCTTAACTGCTCCTTGTCTCTTTGGCTCCTTCTACTCTTTCCTGAAGTTAGAGCATTCTTTCTTACATCCAGGTCTGATCATGTTATTTTCTTCAATCCCTAGTTGGCTTTATGATAAAGTCTTCTTCATTCCTTAACTCCTAGAGAGACCTGTGTGGTCCATGCCTCACCTACCTCGTTCATTCAATCATTTAAGAAATATTGATTGAACACCTTTTGTATGCCAAGCCCTGAGTATACAGCAGTTACCAAAACTAAGTCCTTGCTTTCATAGAACTATCATTCTTATTAGGTGAGACAGACAGTAACATTTCTGTATATATCAGGTGGGAAAAGTGGAAAAGATAAAGGAGGGAAGGTGGACGACTGACTTATCAACCTAATCCCTTGCAATTAACCAGGGATAACTATCAGGACTGAAACTATGGGGCCTCAAAGGTCAGTGTGGATGTAGTGTAAAAACTGGATTTGGAAAAGGGAGAAGCAACAGAATTGGCAACAGGTTGAATGTGCATTTTGAGGAAATAAGGGCAGGTGCAGATTTCTGGCTTGGGACTAGGGGATGGAGGTGCCATAGACTGAGATAGGTAATGATAAAAGAGTAGCATATTTGAGAGGAAAGGTGAACTCAGGTTTAAACATGCTAATATGGGGTACCTGTGGAGCTTCAGGTAGGTGTCCAGACACATACACCAGCGATGTGGATGTTGCTGATCCTTATTGAGAAATGCTGTGTAAAAAGATTTCTAAAGTACACTTGAAGTGGTACTAGTCCCACCTCCTGCATCCTCAGCAGACCTAGTTAAGTAAAGGTTTTCTTCTGCTGATCCAAGTCTCAGAATCCCTTAGTTTGTATTTCTGGTAGTCCATACCAAATCTGAATTGACACTTGAGGTAAAACCTTTTTGTCATCAACAATTGAGAGACATTATCACTTTTAGTTTATTGTAGATAGTCTGTTAGCCCCACAATTCATTATAACCATTGTGGAACTAATTGAAGATTCAAAAATGTAAACCCATAGATAGGTTTTTGCAGTCAAATTCTTAGTACTACACTAGGTCTGGGAAAAGTCAGTAACTTAACTAGGAAAATTTATAACTTCAGGACATACAAAAGCAAAAATTAAATTTATGTCATAGATTAGGCCTTCCAAAACTTAAATATTTAACTATTCAGCTTTTTTGCATATGAAGTGAACATGTGACTTGAGAGAGTTCTTATTAGTTTACTAATGAAAGAAGTGAATTAACAAAGTTTGATCCCTCAGGGATATAGAAAAGAGCCCAAATAACCCAAGTTACCTTGTTAAATTATATGAGTTATTATTAAAACATTACACTCTCTTATCTCCTCATTGTACTGTCCTTCAAGTATTTTCTATTCAGGTTCTTCCATTTATTTTTTATTTTTTTCCATTTTGAGGGTGGTGCTATTGATGGTAGCTTTCATGCTTTACGTATATCTAAAAAAATTAATTATAAAGTTGAATTTCTACATACGCCTCAAAAGAAATCTGAAGTGTTGATTCATGGCCACAGAGCATGTGTGGTTGCTGCTTTGGGTTTTTTTTTTTCCTCATGAAGTTGTTTATTCTTGGGAAACAAAAGAAGTGAATGGACTTGAGGTTTAGCAGTTGAGACAGGTTAACTTAAAGCACTATGTAATTCACAGACCAAAGAGGTACCACAGGCATTTCTACAACATTAAATCTGTTAAGGAGAGAAAGGAACTAAATATTTGCTTAACATCTCAACCTGCCAGTCACTACAATGTATAAAATGTATACATTAACTGATACAATATCACTTTTATACTCATTTTCTTATTTCAGAAACGATGAAAGTACAGCATCTATTTTACAAGATCACTATCTTGATTCATCATGGAGAACTGAGAATGGTCTTATTGTAAGTATTTTATGAAAATATTAGGGACATTAAGCTATTACTCATTACCCAAAGTACCTCTTTTTTTTTTTTTTTTTTAATTTGGTGCTAGTTCTCAGCAATCACAGAGGTAATAAATTTAAACTTGTTTTTAAAATATATTTTTATTGATTTCAGAGAGGAAAGGAGAGGGAGAGAGAGATAGAAACATCAATGATGAGAGAATCATTGATTGGCTGCCTCCTGCACACCCCCTACTGGGGATCAAGCCCACAACCCAGGCATGTGCCCTTACCGGAATCGAACCTGAGACCCTTCATTTCACAGGCCAACACTCTATCCACTGAGCCAAACCAGTTAGGCGAAACATTTTTCTTACTGTAAAAATAGCAGAAACTTATTCTTATTTCTTTTGACTTTGAAAAATGGCCACAACTGGGAAACAACTGTTGGATCCAGCTGGATTTGAATACAAGTCCTTGCTGATTTGTGAACCTCAGTTTCATCTGAAAAATGGGGATCATTGCAGGGTTCATTTCCTCATTTAACAATTATTTACTGAGTATGTACTATGTGCCAGACACTAGACCAGATTTGGGGGTTCCAACTATAATTAAGATAGACATGGTTCTGCTCTCAAGGAGCTTATAGTCTAAAGAATCAGGTATTAAACAAATAGACTAATTATAAATCATTAAGGACATTAGATACAGACTAAGGGTGACAGGATGGGGAACCTACTTTAGATAAAGTTGTCAGTATGGGAAACTGAGGAGGTGACTTTTAAGTTGAAATGTAATAAAAAGAGGGGAGTAGGTATGTGACGAGTTGAGGGAAAACATTAGGCAGAAAGAATAGTATCACAAAGGCTGGTTGGAAGCCAGTTCTAGAATATGGTAAGGGAAGGGGGTTGATAGCTGTGACAAGGTTGGAAAGGCAGATGAGAGCTCTGTCATATTTGTAGGAATCAAGAGACCAGTTAGGAAACATTTGAGTAATCTAAGCAGTATTTGGTGGTAGCTTGGCCGGAGGTTGTGGCAGAGTCAATAGAAGTAGACAGATTTAATTATATTTTGGAGATTGAGCTCCTTGGTAGACTGGACATAGAATTGAAGGAAAAGGAAAGAATCCAGGGTGATTCTTGGGTTTCTGGCTGGAATAACTTGGTGACCAGTAGTGGCGTCTATAAAGTTGAGAAGGTCGGGGAAGAAGCAGGTGAAGGAAGGTATGTGATGGTGAGTTATGTTTTAAATGTTAAATTTAAGAAGCCTGCTAGATACCCAAGTGGAAGTTTTGAGGGGGCAGTTGGATATAACAGTCTAGATCTTGGAGAGGAGACCTGAGCTGAAATTTTTTAAGTTTTGAGAGTTGAAAATGAGTGTGATCATTCAAGGAGAGATTGCGGCTTGAGGGAAAAAAGAATTGTGAGTTTTGGAAATAGGTGAAGTATCTAGCAAAATTCTGATAACTAATAGTCCTTTATACATGACTAGAGGCCCGATGCACGAAAGTCGTGCAAGAGTAGACCTTCCTTCCCCCCGGCTGCTGGCACCAGCATCCCTCTGGCACCTGGGACCCGAGCTTCCCTCGGCTGCCTGCAGGCACCCGGGACCTAGGCTTCCCTCACAGCCCCGGCTTCATCCAGAAGTTCGTCCGGAAGGACATCCGGTCTAATTAGCATATTACGCTTTTATTATTGTAGACAGCCATTATTACTGTATCACAGATAGGAGCTTGAGCCTTGGGAGTCTAACAGACTGGTGTGTCAAGTCTCTGCTCTTCCACTTGAAATGTTAGCAGTGCTAGGGATGCCTCTGTGAAGTAATGCCTATTTCATAGAGTTATTGTGGGAATCAAAGCTATGTCCATGTGCTCAGCAAATGACAGCTGTTATTGTTAATCATATTGTATATTTTCATTTAACAAAATATGGAAGATAACTTCAAAAAGTAGTAAATAAAAAGAAAATATGTTCTTCTCTTTTATAATAGCCTTGGACTCTGGATAACACCATCAGTGAAGAGAACAGAGCTGTCATTGAGAAAATGTTGTTGGAAGAAGAGTATCCTTTAATGATTGTGAGGAAAGATTTCAGGGTTAAGTACCTCTAAATGCAAAAATTACAAAAGAGACCACTGTTAATTACTAGATAGATATATTTGGCCCCAGACTGCTACAATATAACATGTAACCTACCTATGCAAAAAGCTGCATTTTATTCTTTTGGTTCTGTTTTATTGCTAAGTCTGAGGTATGATTCAACATTTTTGAGTTTCTGTTGTCAACCAACTCTTTATACTGTCTGAATATTGGTTTGAAATTATAAAATGTTTTATATTAGCTAGAACCTGTAGTCCAAGACCATTTAGTCCAATCCTCCATCTTCAGTTATATAAGCTGAAATCCAAAGATGTTGATTTGTCCAAGATTTCAGAATTAGAATATGTAAAAGTTCTCACTTCTTACTCTACCAATTTACAGGTGTTATGTGAGAGGAACCTAAGTAAAAAGCACAAAACAAAAACAAAAGGATAAAGATCTTTCTCCCCGCCTCCCCCCTACCCCACCCCCTTGAGAAGTTGTGGATCCTTATCCATGGTCAGGCACTGGCTTCTTGTCCTTGTTTCTTTAATCTGTATGTGATGTTGGCAACTTAATTTCTTTGGGACTAAATTTTCTTTTTTTTCTTTTTCTTTTTTTAAATATATTTTATTGATTTTTTACAGAGAGGAAGGGAGAGGGATAGAGAGTTAGAAACATTGATGAGAGAGAAACATCGACCAGCTGCCTCCTGCACACTCCCTACTGGGGATGTGCCCGCAACCAAGGTACATGCCCTTGACCGGAATCGAACCTGGGACCCTTCAGTCCGCAGGCCGACGCTCTATCCACCGAGCCAAACCAGCTAGGGCTAGGACTAAATTTTCTTATATGTAAAATGTGAGGATTGAACAAAGTGATTTCTGATTTTATGATTTATAAAGAGTATTAATAATAGTTTAATGAGTAGTGGTTTATGTAACATTTTCTAGTGGCCTCCTTTAAAACAGGTGAAATTAATTTTAATAATTTATTTAACCCAGTATATTTAAAATGTTATTTCATCATTTAATATAAAAACATTGAGATCTTTCACATTTGTTTCATACTCTTTGAAATTCAGTGTATATTTTATACTTACAATGCACCTCAGTTTGTGCTAGCCACATTTCAAGTATTTAGTAGTTACACATGTGGCTATTGGCCAATGTATTGAACAGTGCAATTCTAAATTAATGAATACTTAAGTAGTTACTGGTTCACTTCCAGACATGGAAACAGAAGTAATGAGAGTAAAAGCTATGTCAGCTCTTGGAAGACAGGGATAATATTTTCTTCTATCTTTGTCCTCAGTACCTAGTACCTAGTATAGTGCCTGACATCCACAATATACAGGCAATAATTGTCAGTGAAGAATATTTCTGATTAAGTTATTGTAAAGGCCAGTTTTAAGACGTTTGAGAGGGAGGCTTTTTGGTAGATTTGACGTATGTGTTTGTTAGTTGTATTAGGGTAGAGGACAACCCTGAGCTCTTCTCTGTTACCTTGAGAAATATGAAGACAATTGGTTGTCCTAAATTACCCTGGATGACCAATCAAATTCATCCATTACATTCTCCATATGGTGTAGGAAAAAAAGAACTAAATAAAACATTGAGGATGTTTCTTCTCTTAGCCACTTCTAAAAGGGAAGATAAGAGGAACTAGCATTTATATAACACATTTTATGCAGGTACCATTTTGTGAGATTTCACATGTAATATTTAATTCATATAACAACCCTGTGAGGTATAAATAATTTTATCAAAAATTGTACAGACCTGAAAAGGGCTTTGAAAGGAATTGGTTTAGCTAGGATTCGAGTGTTAGTGTCATGGGTATCTATATATATAAAAAGCCAGCGACCAGAACGCAGTAACGACAGAACGACCCGTTGCTATGACACCCACTGCAGCCAGTAAACCTGATGGATCGGGGGTGGGGCCGGCCGGCCAACCTCCCGCAGCCCCTCCCCCGGCCGGCCCCGCCCCTGATTTCCCCCTTACCCCAATAAGGGGCTCTGCCCCCGATCAGCACCCCCACTCCGATCAGGGGCAGAGCCAGCCGGCCAACCACCCATGGCCCCTTCCCCAGACCACTGGCCCCCTATCAGTCCCCTGGACCCCATTTGGGGGCGGGGCCGGCTGGCCCACCACCCACAGCCCCTCCCCATGGCCGGCCCCACCCCTAATCAGCCGCCACCACCCCAATCAGGGGCAGGGCCCGCCAGCCAATGCCCTCGGCCCTTCCCCCCAGCTGGCCCGGCCCCGATTGGGCCCTGATTGGGGTGGGTCAGCTGGCCAACCTCCCGCCGTCTCCTCCTCCCGACAGTCCTGGCCCCAATCTGCCCCGATTAGGGTTGGGCCAGCCGGACCTCACCTGTGCACGAATTCGTGCACTGGGCCTCTAGTATACTATAAATGCCTACTTTATATGAGCCATGTAAAAGTTATGACTTTATTGTTGTTAAAGTTTCCTTAATAACTACACAGGTATTATTTATCTAAAAAATCACTTCCAGAAAAATTCTGGCTTGGTCAAAAGGAAGATGATAAAAAATACATGAAGAGGTAAAAATTAATTTATCATACTTTTAAAAATATGAACAGTACTTTTAGAAACTTCACATGCTTCCTTATTTTCTTTTTTCATGTGGTGGTGCAGTCTGCAGAAAACAGCAAAAATCATGTATGTACTTATTTTTAAAACTTTAAAACCTTTTTTATTAGTTAAAAGTTATAAGAAAATTAAATAAAAATTATAGTTGGCTTGTGGAAAAGCTTTCTTGATCTTGAGTTATTCAAAAATATAAAATCAAAATTTCTTGTATACATAGAATGCCCCAAGGTAATTTTATGCTGCTATTTTCCAGAATTTCTCTTTTGGTTCCATCAGATTATGGAAAAGATGGTTTCTTAGGGATTTGTGGGGAAACTTTTAAAATCTGCTATTTAATGTTAGGAGTTGACATGATTTCTATTGCCCTGTCAGTTAATTTTCAATCACTTCAAACAAAAATTTAATTTGAATTTTTAGCTTTCAAAAAATTAAAGAAACTTTTAACTATTTTATTTAGTGTTTATAAACTTGCATGTTTATGGTTCCTTAAAGGTAAGGCTTACAGATTTGCAATTGCCAAGAGTTTGAGCACCGAACAGACTTTGGCTTTTGCATTTTGCTGAATAAACAACAATAAAAAATGAAGTTAATGAAAAGATTAATGGTGTGCTTGAATTAAATTAGTGAGCCTCATCACTCTCTTAATTTCTTAAGAGACTGCAGTTTCAAAAGCAATAAACATAATGCCATAGTTTGGTTTTTTTATTACTTTTCTGGCTTGATATTTACATGGTACATGGAAGAATCAGAGATAATATTTCTAAAGTCAGTTTAAACTTTTACATGCCTTTCAGGATTTGGATGTTTTAATGTCTGCTGTTTTATGTCCAGCATAAAGAACCCTATTTGTTTGTTTTCACACTGACTTCCTTTAATGTCTTTTAGTGTTATCTTCACTCAGACTCAAGGATTATGTCTTTTGGGGCTCCTATCATCCTGAGCTAGAGAAGTATATGAGACAGGGTAAATCTGTCCCCTCACGTAGAGGCTGCAGCCTTTTTCTTCTTCTTTTCCTTTTTTTAAGTTCTTAGACTCAGAATATTGAATTTAGTTTATGGCTATCTATAATCTTTAGCTGCGTAAATATGGAATGTTCCATTTCAGATTTTTTTTTTTGCAATTCCTTTTTTCCCCCCTCAGGGTACAATCTCCTACAAAACCAGCCAGTTTCTCAGTAAAGTGGACGATAGAAGAAAAAGAGCTGTTTGAACAAGGGCTGGTAAATAGAGCAATTTTTGACTTATAGTAAAATAATTCTAGAAGCAAATATTGATAGAATTATAAGGTTAAATTAATTTGTAGAGACCAGAAATTTCTTTTTAATTGCAGTGTTCATATCTATATTTTTTCTATAGATAGAGTGATGATGTATGTAGTATAGCACAAGAGAATTTAACTCACTTAAGTTAATAAAATATTAAAATAGATTTGGATTAATTTTTGGATAGTTTTTACCCTATTTTTATACTAGTAAAACCCCCAAATTGAGCTATTTCTTTAAACTATCTGGTTTCAAAGGCAAAATTATTTTGTTATCTGTGTATATGGAACTGTCTGTTTTGGGTTGAGTTATTTTTTATTCAGATATTTGGCATTGTGCATATAATCTAAATATTTCAGCAGATGTAATTGAAGACAAAACATGTTTCTTTTTGCGTTAAAGTTTCACTGAGACCTATATAAATGTCTACAAGTTATATAATGGAAAAATATGCATCCCAATTTCTAATTCTGAAAATACTTATTAATATGAAGACACTTTTAATAAAATATTCAGAAAAGTTTTTTAACTATGGGGAATAGGTTATATCATTTCCTTTAAGGTACATGTTAACCAATATTATACTAAATTAATTTTGAAATTATATATCTACATTACATATATAGGATGTTTATATAGTTATGTAGGATTCAGGAATACTAATTGAAATATTATTGATAATGTTTCTACAGATGGTGGGAAATAAAATGAGCTTGTATTTTTATAGTTAGTCATTGCTATGACGTTCATATATTCTGTGATGTTTTTATATAAATACCTAAACTATCCTTGAGCATTTTATCTCCTCCTGAGATTTTTATCCTGTGCTGTTATATTTTATATTTTTGTATTTTAGTCTGTTGCATGATTATCATTTACATAATCTAACTCTAACTAGCTAGCCATTTATTTAAATTGTCCCTTACCGAAGACTACACACACACTCACACACACACACCAATGCAAGTGGGTTGTGAATTTTAGGTTATTATTGTTGACATTGGTAGTAGTTATAGGAGCTACATCTGCATGGTTCAAAATTCAAAAGGTGCCTAAAGTTTATAGGGTGTTAAGTCTAACTCTTGTCTCAGCCTTCAGTTTTCTATGCCTGAGATAATCATTTTAATCTGTTTTTTTTGTGGATTCTTCCAGAGATATTTATCCCTGTATAAGAAAATGTGTATTTATTTATATACATATGTAGTTATCTATTTATATACATAAACAGATATTTTAAACTTAGAGTGGTTTCCCACAAAAATAAATGGAGCTATTGGTTGTATTTTAACCTTTTGATGTAGTTTGCTTATAGACTGAATTTTCTCAGGTTTGAGAGAAGGGAATTATGCGGTACTGTATGATGAAGGAAGATTTTTCCTTCCTTTTCATGGGCATAGGGCTCTCCCTTTGCTCTATTTTAAAATTAATGAATGTTTTCTTTGCTCCTGTTGTTAGTGTGCCCCCTGTAAGTTTCATAGTGCCCAAGCCCTGACAGTCCCTACTGGTCACACTTAACAAGATCTTTCCTATCTCCAAAGTGCTCCGTGCTGCCAGGTTACTTGCTTGACTTTATCCCACAATAAAGATAATGAATTCTGCAGTAAGTTGATCTCTGCTAGGTGTTAGTTAAGAGCAATATAGATAATTAATTTATACTCACTAGTATAAATATTTACCCTGAAATATTTTCAGTTTTAAGAAATTAACCACCTATCAGATTTTCTCATGAGTACCACAAACAATTGTATAAATTAAGGTTTATCATTTGGGTTGGATCTTTGAAGATGACTTGCTACCATAAGTCATGACTGCCTGGCCTGAAGCCTGCCCTGAGGTCAATTCCCCTTAGTTGTGGCTGGGGTTTTTTGTTGTTGGTGGTTTGTTTTTCATAGCTTTAAGAATTCTAAAAAATTAGAATTGTTGAGCTACTTTGGGAAGTAGAGAGTATCTTGTGTTAGAGATATTATAAAGGAGGTTTATGTCTGTATCAAATGATAGACTTGATACCTAAAAATCCCATTTAGCTTTGAAATTATATTTATTCCTTTCTGTACTTCAGAACACACCAGAACTCCCTTGAGTTCTTAGTTTTTCTCACCACAGCTTAGTGTTAGCAAGTGGACAACCTTCGACAGTAGATGGGTGTAGGGAGGCATTGGTTGCAGCTCTCTTCATTTGTGATTCTTGTCAGTTCACCGTGATGTCTGCGTAGAGTATAATGGATATTGTAACAGATGGAATCTGGGCAAGAGGGTATTTTTAAATTAGTGTCAGAACATATTCAGTTGATTGTATAAATGGATGCAACCTGCCTCCGTTTCAGATACTTTTTTTTTAAGTTATCTTAAGATTTGGAACATCATAATGTGCAATATGAGTACATACAGTTAGGAATACATAAAAGTGATGTATCTTTATTTAGATAGCTATGAAAAGAAAACTAATTTCTAAACCATTTTGGTCAGTTGTCATTAAGTCCGGATTCTATATAAAAGAAGAATGTGGGCCTTGATTTTATATATATGAGGCTTCATTGTGTGCTTTAGAAAATAAATAAAGATGGGTTTTTCTTTTAGCTTGCTTTTTTTTAGTGTGGCAGTTGCTTAGAATATTAACAAGTCAGTTCAACAGAAGCAATTTCTTTTTCATTTTGATAATATAGGCTAAATTTGGCCGAAGGTGGACCAAAATTGCAAAGCTAATTGGAAGTCGAACTATTTTACAAGTGAAGAGCTATGCCAGACAGTACTTTAAAAATAAGGTAAGCAGAATATAACTATCCTAATTGATAATAATATTTTAAATAAAATTAGTAAGAAAAAGTAGTTTTTAATTCAGGTATTAAAGTCTTAATGTTCAAAGTTTTTATAGTAGAAATATTTTATACCCATAAAGTACTCTATAGATATTTATCTTCAGAATCTCAAAGCATATCTTCAGTGTTATGATTGTTCCTATTGAATAGGTATTATATTATTCTATTTAATTTCATACAGTTAAATAGAAGAATAAAATATTAATTGCTCATTTAAAATGTAATAAACACTTTAAAGAAAAGAACCATAAAGGTACAATACACCAGTGATGTACTCAGTTTAATAACATTGTATTTATTCTGCTTTTTGTGCCAGTTATTAAGTTTTCAAATTGTAATATTATTGGAGTTTTATCTTGATTTTTAATAAGGTAAAATTAGATGGTCCAGAGAAGGAAACACCAAATCAGAAGAACAGCAGTGATTTTCAGATTAGAAGTGAAGATGAAAGCTCAAAGTCATGGACCCCATCAAGTTTAAGGGGACGTGCTGATCCCAACTTGAATGCTGTAAAAATTGAGAAGTTATCTGACGATGAAGAAGTAGACATCACAGATGAGGCAGATGAGTTGACTTCTCAGGCACCTCAGGAGAATCCTAGTAGTGATCTTTTATTAGACACCCCTAATAGTAAAAGTAATGAAACCTACCAAGGAGAATGTATTACCTCTGACAGCAAGGAAGATCCCATTTCTAAATCTTCCAAGGAATATCTTCAGAATTCAAAGCACGTTGAGATGGAAACACTTTCAAGCTCAGGAATTAAATTTTGGACTGAAAAACAGAGCACCAGTGATAAAAAATCAGTTGAATTAAATGATCAGAAATGTAATAAACTGATGAAAAACTGTGATAAGCATAATGGAAATGGAATAGTAGATGATACCAGGCTGTTGCCTTCTCCGGAGCCTTGTGAAGTTCAGAAAGATTTGAGTGATCATGAAATGCTTTTTCATTCTTGCCAAATGGAGGAGGAGCACCATGAGGAAGAAGAGCTTAAGCCACCGGAGCAAGAAGTAGAAATAGATAGAAATATTATTCAAGAAGAAGAAAAACAAGCAATTCCTGAGTTTTTTGAGGGGCGCCAAGCTAAAACACCAGAACGCTATTTGAAAATTAGGAATTACATTTTGGATCAGTGGTAAGGAAGAATTATATTATAGATACTGTTTTAAAACTTATGATATTCTATAGTATTTTAATTAGGCTTATGCAGAAGTTAGTATTTTATAATGCTAATGATCCAGAGAACTTTAACATAATATATTTCAATAGGCATGACTTAAAATTCCTCGGAGTGAACTTTTTGGGGAAAGCTTTGGTAAACATTGTTATCTATAGCTATCTTAATCCATCTCTGTTCATTAGAGTGTTTGGGCCTGGAAAAAGGGGTAGATGATTGCCTTAAGAAGTACTTTCTTTGGGCATTGTTAGGAAGGTATAGAAAGCACTACTGTTCTGGAAAGGGGATAGCATAACATCTTTCCCAGTTTATCCTGTACTTTGAAATACAAAGAAAGAAAACTTCCATGACAGGATAATGACATTCTAAATAGCTGCCTTAAGTGCTTTCAACTTTGAACCTCTGGCAGATTGTTCATTCCTTCATCCAGCTTTATCAGGAAACAGGATTTTTGATATATGCAGTTTACCCTTTAAAGTGTCAGTACCTTTTACTTAAATTATTTAGTGGGGATTGGGGAACAAACCAAAAAACTTCCCACCTTATTAGCCTAAATGCTCTGAAAGTAATTCGAATTTTTCTTAATAGCTTAAGACATCGTTAAACATTCATAATTGTTATTGCTTCAGGATTGTGTAGGGCCATCTTTATAGAGGGCTTCTGCTACAATCTAGGAAGATTACCAAAGGAAAACAAGGCTATTAAATCATTAACCATTTTGCCTTACAATATTGAGTGATTTGGCTTTTAAGGATAATTATATTCTAAGAAAGATTTTTGTTCTTCTTCTTGCAGGCAGTTGAGATTGCTAAAAATATAAGTTTGGGTAAGGGTGGAATCAAAGTAAAGAATATATATAAAGAACAACTGATATTGACATAGTGCTTTACAGTTTACAGAAAGCTTTTCTGTGTCATCTGATACCTTACAACAATCCTATAAAATAGGCAGCTGGTATTTTCTCTACTAGTATTTGATAAAACAATCCTGAGGTCAGGAGAGGTTTACAACCAGTCCCTGACAGACTTCAATGCAAGTCTTTTTTTTTTTTTTAATATATTTTTATTGATTTTTTACAGAGAGGAAGGGAGAGAGATAGAGAGCTAGAAACATCGATGAGAGAGAAACATCGATCAGCTGCCTCCTGCACACCTCCTATTGGGGATATGCCTGCAACCCAGGTACATGCCCTTGACCGGAATCGAACCTGGGACCTTTCAGTCCGCAGGCCGACGCTCTATCCACTGAGCCAAACCGGTTTCGGCACAGTGCAAGTCTTGACACTATAAATTACTCTTTCCATTATTCCATATTGCCTAATTCACACTATTAAAAAAGATAAATTAAATTGATACCTAATTTTGATTTTGGAAATAAGAGGAGGAATGGCCAAAATTTGGAAATAAGAGGATGAATAACTTTAAAATAACTCAAAAATGTCTATATGAATCAACACTGAGTATTTACTGTTACTTTAATCAAATTTCATTTGTTACTTTGAATTTTGGATTCTATGAGGCAGAATAAGTTATAGAGACAGTATAAATTATATAGCAGTAGTTTCCTAATGTCATTTGCCTTAGTTCATGAAGCTAGTGAAAGTGTTGCTGTTTCAGTAGGTGAGAAAGCAAAGAGAAAGGTTTTGAATAGGAACTCAGATGTTCTCTTCAAAAATAGAAGAGAGAGTGGTTAGGGACTGGATGTGGTATTTAAAAAAAATAGAAGGGAAAATTAATGTTTTAAAAATAAAAAGAGGCCTGCTTGACTTGTTTGTAGCTAAAAGATCCTTTTCATAAAAGCACATGCAGCCCTGACCGGTTTGGCTCAGTGGATAGAGGGTCAGCCTGCGGACTGAAGGGTCCCGGGTTCGATTCCAGTCAAGGGCATGTGCCTTCGTTGCGGGCACATCCCCAGTGGGGGGTGTGCAAGAGGCAGCTGATCAATGTTTCTCTCTCATCGATGTTTCTAACTCTCTACCCCTCTCCCTTCCTCTCTGTAAAAAATCAATAAAATATATTTAAAAAAAAATAAAAGCACATGCAGTCAATTCCCTGCTTAGGGGAATTTAATAAAAATAGTAACCAATACCATTATTGAGTGTCTACCAATACCATGCTTGTATTTAAATCATCTCCAATCCTCTTGACAACCTGTTCTCATTTTACAGATGAGAACAGTGAGTTTCAGAGAGTAAAAGGAAGTTGTTGCAGGTTACTATAAGTGAAGATAATATCCAGGATCTATAGTCTTGACTCATTATTTTCACACTTCCAACTCAGGGCCTTGACCTAGACTTTTCATTCTGCCTTAGATGCTTTCCCCTCCACATCTTGCTGATCTTGCTTCCTTATCTCATTTAGGTCTGCCCAAGGGAAATTAAAGGCCTTCTCTAACCACCCTATCTAAAATAGCTCACATACATATCTCCTTCCTCTCATTCTCTTACCCTGTTTTTAATTTATCTTCATAGAATTTATTACCACTGAAAATATTATATTTTTATTTATTGTCTCTCCCCTCTCCCCCCTTACCCCCCTCCCAGTGATAATGTAGGCTCCACACAAGGACAGATTTTTTTTTTAAATCTATTTGTTCATTGTTAAATCCCTAATATTTAGAACAATGCTTGGAATACAGAAGTCTCTTTATTTGTTAGGAAGAACAGATTGAATGAATGAATCATCATTATATCATGAACAGACATTTTGAGAGGCTTTATCATTTGTTCAGCACTGTACTAGATTACTAAGTTCTGCTTAAAGCCTGTGATTTGGATCATCGTTAATGACATTAATTCAGTTTTTAGACTCCAGTTTTTTGATAGCCAGTTATACCATGCTCATTTCTGCTTTCTTGCCTTCTTTTGTGCCGTTTGTTTTCTTTTAAAACATTCAAAATCTCAACTTTTCAATGGAACTTTAAAACCCACGTCTCAAACTACTTTTTACCATTCCTGAAATGTTACAGGATTTATGATTTCAAATATGGTTTTTGCTTAGAGAGGTCTTCCCCAAATACCCTATCTAAAATAGTCTATGCCTATTTGTCTCACTGTATCCTTTTTTCTTCCTAGCACTCATTGCCACCTGACAGTACAATAGATATTATTCATTAATTTATTTGACTGTCTCCCCATTAAAGTAGTTCATGAAGCTAGTTAAAGTGTTGTCAGGAAGTGTTAAAGTAAGGTCAGGAAATTGATATTATTCATCTTTGTATCCTTAGTGCCCAGAACAATGCCTGATTCAGAGGATACAAAATAAAATAAATATTTGTAGGATAAAATAAAGATTGAATAAGAAATACCTATGTTAAATGATTTATCTGAATACTTGGTTTGTAATGTCTGTTTGCATCCTGTCACTTAAAGTAAGTGCTTTAATTTCTCTGGCCTTTTTGTTTCTCATCTCTAAAATGAGAATTAAAAAATCTATATCTTATAGAGTTGTTGGTGAGGATTAAGGTACAACATCTGGCATAAGGACTTAGTAAATATTTACTGCTAGTATTAAGTTTTCTATTACTCTTACACTTTATATTGTACCATCTAGCATGGTACATTAAATATGTTCAGTAAATATATGTTTTATTATATAAACCTTTCATTTCTTTCATAATTTTTGGGCATTTCATGATTCTTTTGGGATCCCCTATAATTTCTGTTTTCCACTGAGAGTAATCACTTCATAAGTATTGGCATAATGATTAAAAACATATAAAATTAAGTGCCCTTTTTAGTCAAGAATTCAGACTTAAATTTGGATCTATAGATAAATGAGCTTCTAACTTAAAAGTCCTAGGATAACTGGCAGCTATTGAATTTAATATTGGGAAAGAAGTAATACTTATAAAAATCACACTATTAAATTATTGTATCATTTATTTTATCTCAGGAAAAAGTACACTTGGGTATAATGTATTATTGTATTTACTACACATTTACATATTGAGAGGGGGTAAATTTTTTAAGATATTTCAAATATTAAAAGTTTTTCCCAGAAATCTTTTTTTCATGTTTCTACCCAAAATAATTGTACTTCCATCTCTTAATTAGGGAGATATGCATGTTTTTATTTACCCCAAATAATTGTACTTCCATCTCTTAATTAGGGAGATATGCAAACCGAAATACTTAAATAAGACCTCAGTACGTCCTGGCCTGAAGAACTGTGGGGATGTTAATTGTATTGGACGGATTCATACATACCTCGAATTGATAGGAGCAATCAATTTTGGATGTGGTAAACATAAAAACCCAACAACATCTTTTACTTGACATTTTTATCTTACGGCACCCATTAATTTCTTTGATGGTTAGAATTCAGGTGGATTTAGAGAGATTCTATAACATTTTGGAATAAATGTATTGGGATTTTAATAAACAGATTTCTGTTGATTAAACTATATTTTCCTTTGACCTACAGTGAAAATTGGTGGAATAATTTTTAAAGGAAATATATGCAGTCTAAGTAGTAGAAATAATTGGCAGTTCTTTGTCAAGTAAAAGTAAAATTATTTTATGAAAAGTCTAATAATAGACCATTTAATTTGCAAATATTGTATTCATGCCAGAAATACTGTCTAGCAGTGTTTAAATAAGAGAAATAATTTATGAGCCTATACACTTAAGTGTAATAAAAGTGCCAAAATATTTTTCATGGAAGAAAGTTTTTTCATCCTACTTTTTCTCAAATATAAGAGTTAATGAATATGTATATTTTTAAATGTGTTCTACCCCTTTATGAACATGACATAAACTTTTTGAAGAAAGATAATACCATAGTTGCAAAGTGATAAAGTAATTAGAACCTTGCAACCCATGGTTTGCGAAGAGTGTTCTGTAGTCTGTCTTTGGAAAGATAACTAACCAGAAAACATCCCGTCAGATGGTTTTGTTTTATATAGAGGTAGATAGAATTTACAGTTTGCCCTGAGGTCTTTGTTTTAGTGTCTTTGTTTGCCCAACGCACTATTAGGACTGGCTTTTCAGGAAAACTAAGGTGTCATAGTTTCCTCAGCCACTGAAAGAAAAATGAAATCATGTTTTCTGTATTAGACTTCCTAAGTTAGCAAAGTGGACTTAATAAAAAAAGTTAAACAAATTACTCATTTCCTAAGTATCACATTTTATTGAGATTTCCTTATAATAAACTATAGTATTACTTTTATGTGAGAACTAAGTGGCACATAAAATATGATTGCGGAGTAGGATAGAAACATTGAAGCTCTGGTATAAAGAAACTTGGAAATTGGCTTACAATATATAGTCAGTGTAGACGTGTCCTCCTTTTTAACAAATGAAAAAATAGATTGTTTTGTTTTCCCTAAATTCCAATAGAACAGGCTGTATATAACAGGCCACAACCAGTTGATAAAGTACGAATCAGAGACAGAAAAGATACAGTAGAAGCATACCAACTTGCCCAGCGTCTGCAATCCATGGTAAGCAGTCACCTCTCTCACTAAATGATCTCTCCAAATCACTCTTTACCCTGTTAAGTAAGGTATGTCTGCTCTTCAACTGCTTGACAAGTGGCCATTTAGTGGAAGAACATGTTTTCTCTTGTATTTTACCTTGCCATTCACTTTACTCTTTCCATTCAATTTCACATAGTATATAAGACAAAAACAAACAAAAATCCTCAAATTTCAATGGCAACGTTTAAGTGTAATGTTTTGCGAAAGTGGCCTTAGACTGCTTGCTTTGATTCCTAAATCTAACATTTTATTTACACTGTACAGTGAAGCACTTTTTTTCTCTTTAATTTATTTTTTGTTTGTTTAAAATTCTTACTCTAAGATTCAGCCTTTTGGAATAGTTATCGAAAATATTTTAGCCTTTACTTTTTTAATTCTTGAGGTTAGTGAGTTTTACAATAGTTTAAAAGTCATGAATTTTATTTAAAAAATAATCCAACAAGTCTCCTAAAAGGCAGAATCAGGTTGTGAACAAATAAATAGGTTAAATTGGTAATAGGTGAGATAAAAAAGAATAAATACTAGAGTGAGTATCTTTCTTAGAGTATTTGGGCTGAAACCAGTTCTACCTAGATTTACTGTAAGAAAGGATGTTTTCAAATATAGTTGCTGGAGATGTTGCTAGTCAGACAGTGACCTCTGGCAAGCTAGTCCATTTAAAGGCTTTACATGGAGTTTGCAAAACTGGATATTAGTAATGCAGTTATCCAACTTTGTAATTTTTACCATTTGTATTAACTAAGCAATCTTTTCCTTTCTAAGACAAATATGATTATTTTGCTTCTAATTTTCAATATTTTCCCCAAGTTTTCTGCCACCAGTGATAGAACAGATAGTCATTTTCTTGGGGATTCTTTTTGGTCTTAAAATTGTATTTCTTAAATGTTTTCATTGATTTTTTAGAGAGAGAAGAAGGGAGAGAAAAAGAGAGAAATATCGATGTGAAAGGGAAACATGGATCAGTTGCCCCGCTATGTACCCCGTTCGGGATCGAACCCAACCCACAACCTGGGTGTGTGCCCTGACCAGGAATCAAACTGGTACTCTTGAGTGTATGGGATGATGCTCAGCCAACTGAGCCACATCTGCCAGGGTAGTCTTAAAAATACTTTTCGTTTGAGTGTTTTAGCTCCCAAATGGTGAAAGGAAATGAAAATTAAAGACAAAATCCCAGAATACAGAAAATCATCACTGTTTTATTTCTGAGCAGAGTGCTAACTATTGAACATAAATTAATAAAATGAAATTTAGTCAGGCATTGCTGATCGGGGATTACAATATATTAATGGAGAAAATGCTTTTTGGAAAATCATTTTTGTTTTTTTAATTAAAATGTGCTGTGATTTCTCCAAGTGAATCTTGTTACCTTTTGCTTTATTTTAACCTCATCACAGCGCACAAGGAGGCGTAGGGTCCGAGACCCATGGGGAAATTGGTGTGATGCAAAAGACTTAGAAGGACAGACGTTTGAGGTAACCTTGACCTTTTCAAATGGCTCATTAGTGAAAGTTGTTTTGTCAGTACATATTTGTATATCTTAATGTCACAAATATTATATTTTAAGAACATACATATATATATATGTCTCATTTCCATGTTGTTTTGTCTAGAAGTTACTAATAAACAGCAAAGTAGAAGGGTTTGGTGGTGCAGTTAACTGGGAGTTGGACTCATTTTCAGAACTTTGATTATCTATTTCTACATTCTGCTCTCTAGCTCAAGAATATTTTCCAGGGTGCCGGGAAGTTGGTATGCCCAGTTCATTTCAGTAAACATTGCTGAATGATATTCTGATACCCAATTAAAATATTGTCCCAAGGATTAGACATAATGCAAATATCGAAGTATTATTTCTATTAATAAAAACTATGGTCCTAAAAAGAAAATAGGCAATGAATGTGTGTATGTATACACCCACACGCATTTTACATATATAATTTGTTTATGGACAGCCAGTGTAGTATAATGGTGTCATGAACAAGGGAGCATCCCCAAAAGGAGCCATTCACACACATTTGTGTCTTTCCACAAAGCCAGGTTTATTAGAGAGACCGCCCAATAACCCAGTAGAGTCACACACAGATTACACAGAGAGGGGGAGCTTGTGCTATAGAAACTAGCAAAGTGAGCACCCTTTTCAAAGTCCTAGCCTCTGGTGGTGTCCCCAGATGGAGAGGTGGGTGTCGGTTTTGAGCTAGGCGGCTACAGTGATGGCACACATCTGGTGAAATGGAAGTCTGGCAGGGCTCTAAGCGAGACCTGTGGTACAGCCAAGCTTAAGTGTTGGGTGATCAGAGCTCTGAGATCTTACCCACCAGGGGTGGAGGTTCCCCTTTCATATCAGTGAGTTCTTATCGAAGTGTCCAGACTTGTGGTTTTGTCCATCCAGACCCCTCCTCAAACTTGACATACACTTGACATAATTGTCATGGCTGATAGTGACTCCACGTTGGATTGTCAAAGGTGTCCAAAAAGTCCACTCTATACAAATGGGAAATGTGAAAGTAGATAATACCTCCCTCAAACGATTGTTGTGAGAATTCAGTGAAATAAATGAAATAAGGTGTATGAAGGTGATAAATGTTAGTCTGTTCTTTTTTTGACTCGCTCCCTCCCCCTAACCTTCTAGGTACAACAATTAGTAATCATGTGTTTCCATCGCTTCTCGGCCTTTTGGCTAAGATCATGTGTAATAATACATGGTTCCTGCCTAGAAGTAACTTAGATTAGTAGAAAAGATAAAAGCCTGTGGTTAGTTCCATAATATTGTTCCCAAGAAGTATAAGGTCCTCTCAAATGATATGATTGGTAAGTTTTCACAGAGGATGTGATGTTTCATCTGTGGCATGAAGCTAGAGAATCTCAAAATGTAGAATGTAGGTTAGGGCATTCCAGGCTGAGGGAGCAGCCCAAATAAAGGTATAGACGTGGAAAAATACTAGAAATGTTCTGGGGAAAAGTGCATAGTTCATTGAGGCTAGAGTGTAAGGTTGGTAATAGAAAAGGAATGAAACACTTCTATTTATATAGGACTTAACCATGTATGACACTATTGTCAGTATTTTACAATCATTAACTAAACTTCACAATAACATCATGACATAGTTATTATTACTGTAGTTTTTCCCATTTTAAATACTGTGTGAGGAAACTAAAACAAAGAAAGCTTTAGGAATTTGCCTGGGGTCAACCAGCTAGTAAGTAGCAGATCCAGGCATTTTACCTCCAGAATCAGCTCTTTATCATGACCACTGGGATGTCTCTCAGTTGTGAAAGAAAACTCAATACTTGCTGACTAGAAATGGGAAATAAGAAAGAAGAAAGCCTCAGGTGATTCTGAGTTTTTTGACCCATGGTACCATTAATTAAAATCAGTAAGTCAAGAGAAGGAGTAAATTTTAAGTTTTGTATGGCTATATATTTTGGAACAATTTTTTTTAACCACATTATTCAGCATTTCTGTTTATTAGTAACAAGAAGGAGACACACCTGTCAACTTTGTCTTGTTCTCACGTGCCCTTAAATATGGTTTTAAAGGAGTATTTTTATTAATTCTACCTCTCAATGGTTAATGGATCCATGATCGACTGGTGTTTTATATTTTAGCACCTCTCTGCTGAGGAGTTGGCAAGAAGAAGAGAAGAGGAAAAATGCAAACCTATTAAATCTTCAAAAGTGCAAAGACCAACAAAAAGGTATATAAATGTGATTCTTTAACTTATCATAAATGATTAGAAAATGCACAGAAAAATATTTGAAATAGTTGCATTGTATTGTTCACATTAAGTGAAAAAATACATGTAAAAATTTTGAAATTTTTTATTTCATTGCTTATCAATTTGGGACACCTGGAGCACAAGTTTTAAATTTGTTCAGGTTCAGTGAATGTAACCTATCTTGAAAAGGGAACTTGTTTATGACAGATGGTCATTTAACTCAGAAATTATGAATAGATAACCTCATGAAGTAACTGGTTCTCTCTTTGGCTGGTGCTAATTGTTAGCAATGCAGTTTTTGTTCATTTATAATCTAAAATTTGTAACTTGTAACATTAAGGGTCACTAGGTGAGTTCCATGTGTTGATTTTCTAGACCCCTCACTTTGTGCAGATGCCCCATTGAATGGACTATAGTTTTGTCAGTGTCCCTTTTAAAACAAGACATTCAAGCCCTGGCCAGTGTACCTAACTGGTTACCAGGGGTGGGCAAACTTTTTGACTCGAGGGCCACAATGGGTTCTTAAACTGGACTGGAGGGCCGGAACAAAAGCATGGATGGAGTGTTTGTGTGAACTAATATAAATTCAAAGTAAACATCATTACATAAAAGGGTACGGTCTTTTTTTTTTTTTAGTTTTATTCATTTCAAACGGACCGGATCCAGCCCGCAGGCCGTAGTTTGCCCACGGCTGGGTTAGACCATAGGCCCATGCACCAAAGGGTCACGGGTTCAAATGTTAATCAAGGGCACAAGGCCACATACTTGGGTCAGGTTCACTCAGTCCTTGGAGTGCATGTGGGAGACAACCAATCAATGTGTCTCTCTCACATCGTCTCTCTCTCTCTTCTCCTCTCCCTTTCCCTCTCTCCATCTCACTCTCTCCTCTCTCCCTCCCTCCCTCCACTTCTCCTCTCCTCCCTCCTTAACTTTCACTCTCTCTAAAAATCAATGGAAAAATCCACTGGTGAAAATTACTAAAAAAAAAAAACACCACAAAAAACAAAGAAAACACAACATCCAAGAATGCCACTAGGTCATTTTTGAAGGAAAGAGCCCTGATACTTACCAGTAATGTCCCTGGGTAAATTACTTAAAGCCTTTATAAGCCTTAGGTCCTCATTTATAAAATAACTGTAATAGCTAACACTGTTAACTATGTTTTAAGCACTTAACGTCATTAACTCACTTAATCCTCATACCGACTCTATGCAGTAGTTAATATCATTCCCATTTTATAGCTAAGGAAACTGAGAAGCACAAAGTATTTGGAGTAACTTGCTTATACTTGTTACTGATGAGGCTATGATTTAAACTCGGGCATTAAGGCTTAAGCATCCATACTCCTGACCATTACACTACAGTATATGTCAAGTTATAGTTGTGGGAATAAATTATATGAGATAAACTGTAAGAAATATAGTCATCCATAACCTAGAACTTTTCATCTAGACAATCTAAATGTGAGACTTCTATTTATTATGATTATCAAGTCATTGTTCCAGTTTGTCAGGATTTTTAAATCCAGATCCACTTTTTTGTTGTTAATCCTCACCCAAGGATATTTTTCCATTGATTTTTAGAGAGAGTGGAAGGGAGGGGGAGAGACAGACAGAGAGAATCATTGATGTGAGAAAGAGACATCGATTGGTTGCCTCTCGCATGTGGCCCTGGTGCCCCAACCAGGGCCAGGATGGAGCCTGCAACCCAGGTATTTGCCCTGGACTGGAATTGAACTAGGGACCCTTCAGTCCGCTGGCCTACGCTTTACCTACTAAGCCGAACCGGCTAGGGCAGATCCACTTTTCTTATAATAGCCTCTGTAATTTTGAATCATCAACATGTCAGTATGCTTGCTTTTTCCACCATTGATCATGATTAAAATATTTCCCTGGGATAAACATAAACTTCAGAATTATTGTTTAATCAGTTAGGTACTACAGTTAACCCATATTTCTTCATCTATGCAGAAAAGTTATGATAGCAGATCCTTCCTATCAAAAATGGAATATAGGTCTACTTATCACAACTTTTATTTTCACGAACCCATTATTATCCTTAGTAGTCACCTTTTCATTTGCTAAAGGCTCGCTAATCAGCTATTTAAAAATCTTTTCTAGAATTTTTCTAATATTCAACATCTGATTCCTCTGTTTCTAAAGTCTGCTTATTTTGTGTTTTGAAATAAGACCAATAATTGCCTATTCCAAGGCTTGCAATAATTTTCACATTCTCTGCAACTCCTCAAAAAACATGGACAGTGATTTCACATCATGGTTCTTCAGTGCTCTGGGATGCATATGTGCTCTTGCTATTTTCTCATCTATCTTGGCCTTTAGTTTCTTTTTATTCATGTTCATAAAGCATTTTCTAATTTGAAAATTGTTCTTTTTTCAATAAATGTTTTTTGGATGCCTACAATATGTCAGGCACTATTCTAGGCCCTTGGAATGCAGTATTCAACAAACAAGGTACAGTATGTGTTCTCCTGGAGCTAATAGTCTCAGGTAGAATAGGAACAAAATAGTTTCACTCTTTTTAAGTTGTGTTAACATGAACATATTCTTTGTTTGTTTATCTGAACATAGAGAAACTTTTCATTCATTTTTAAAAAAATATATTTTTGTTCATTTCAGAGAGGAAATGGGTAGAGGGAGAGAGAATAGAAACATCAGTGATGAGAGAGAACCATTGATTGGCTGCCTCCTGCATGCCCCCACTGGGGATCGAACCCACAACCCAGGCATGTGCCCTTAACTGGAATCGAACCCGGGATCCTGCAGTCCAGTGCTCTGTCCACTAAGCCAAACCAGCTAGAGCAAAACCTTTTTATTCTTAATATATTTCTCAGATCTCAATTCTTTACTGGCCAAAGCCTTTCTATCATTTCTCTTCGATTGGTTAACATATGCCTTTGTATCTGGACTTGCTTAGATGCCCCTCTTCCCATCTTTTTTTTTGCACTTTTTCATTTTAAAGTATTAGTTTATTATAGAACTTTCTGTATATATTCATTTCTTTAGCAGAACTGTTTGTCATTTATTCATTCAACAAATATTGAGTCCCTACTCTATGCTGACCATATTATTATACGGACAGAAATGTTTTTGAGAAACTTCCATCTTTGTTGACATTTCTTTCAGGTCTCATGTCAGGAAATTGGTTAAGTCTTCATTGAAGTTTTTGAAATCTGCTTTTAGTGTAGGATACATATCTGAACATTTTTAATGTTCTCTTCTCTTCTTTGGATATTTAAAGAAATTAGGATAACAGAATTACTTTCTCCCATAAGTCCTGTCATTCCCTCCGCCCCCCGCCTTTTTAAAAATCAAGTCCAAAAGAGCAGTGCTGCTTTCAGAAGGGTTGTATGGAACATTTTAAGAAAATTTCCTTGTTTAATATTTTTCTCTCTTAGACAGTAGGTTTTAATTTATGATACACATTTTCAAATTTGTAAATGTTATTTTCCTAATCTTGTTGAGATTATATTAGAAATAAATGTTTTTCTTCTTTTTCAGCTCATTTGATCCCTTCCAACTGATACCTTGTAATTTTTTCAGTGAAGAAAAGCAGGTACTACTTATGCATCACTGAATGACCATACATAATGCCCTCCCGTCAGACATGAAGTACTTCTTCAGTGTGTGCAAGGCATATATATGTATAAAAATAATAGTGGGCAAGGCCGGGTATATTAAAGGTTAGATGAGTACTACAGATGGAAAATGAAAGGGTTTTAAATGGTAAATTGTTGTTGAAGTTTGGTTCTCACTGAGCTTTGGTAGTGAGACCTTGGTATGATAGGTGATAGGTAAAGGAAAAGAGGGTGGACATTCCAGGGAGCGAGAACAGATCTCTATTTTTATGCTTCCCCATTTTTGTTGTGTGTTTTTTATATTTCAGGAGCCATTTCAGGTGAAAGTGGCTTCAGAAGCACTTTTAATAATGGATTTGGTAAGGATAATCTATTGTGTTTACTTAGTTATTCTGATTTGTATTCTTGTGTATTTTTATTGCAGGCATAAGAGAGAGTATGGAAGACCTGTATTTTGGATCTTAACTATCCTCTTTTACAAGGAATCTAAAAATAAGTCTTTTCTTTTGGAGAAAAGCCAAACAATTGCATGTTTCCATATTTTAGAGAAAATAAATTAATGTGAGTTTTTGCAGACTGTTTATCATCATTAACCCTTTTTTCATTTCCTAGTATCCTTTGTCTGCTGCCTTCTAGATAACTACAACAAAACAATACTCAGATTTTGGAGTTGCTTTGTACTAAACTACTGAGACTCCATAGTTGTGTGTTTGTTTATGGTCTTTTCCTGTAGGATGTTCCAGAGTAACTTTTTACTTTGTATCCTTATATCTTTCCTAAATAGGGAGAGCAAATGGTATCTTTATTTTGTAAGTGAAAAAGTAACATCATGGAGTGTTTGAATGCTTGGTTCAAAGCTTTGCAGACTGCAGTGCAGATAGATCTGAAATCTAAGTCTCTGTGCTCTGAACCCAGCATCTAGTTCCTCTAGCATACTACTTTATATTAGAAATGCATAAGTGAGTTTTATTCTGACATTTTTGTCCGGTGGTTTGTTTGGGCTAAGTCTGTCTTGTATTTCTTTCAGCATGCTCATGTGTCTATGGCAGAAGTGATTGGTCTCTTAGGAGGAAGATACTCAGAAATTGATAAGATAGTCGAAGTAAGTTCTCAATTTTAAAGACTTTAAAAGATTTTGTCCTACTGCCATACCAAATATTTTTATAGATTTCGGTGACTTCACATATGATGTGAATGAGAACATACAAATGTAGAAAGTTATGTATTCCCAAAAGTGACTTAACATTCCACCTATTGAGTCCCTGTTTATGTTCCTTTACCACTGAGAAAGAGGGAACACTCTGCCAGGCCTTAGTTCCTCATTGCCTTCACCAATAAAAAGCTATAATCCCTACGAGGCCAGGAAGCATGTGGAACCTTATAGTTGAAACTTGGTGTGCATCATTCTGTTGAAATTATTATCATAAATAATAGGGGTCACTGAAAGAGTATGTTGGTACAGGTATTACATGGGCTGACCTGAAAATTAACAATTATTATGACCTTGTTTAATAGAAAGTGGATTCTGAGGTCCTAGCATACAGTCACATTTCTGGAGTATAATTCATTTGCAGGTTAAAGGCTGCCTATGATTGTAATCAAATAAAAGGCTTGGCTTTAAAATGTTTCTGTGTCTATGTGTGAAAGAACTAAAACATGTAGGTAGTAGAATTAACAGAATTTCAGTGTAATCATACAAGTTTTAATCCTTTTTAGGTCTGTGCAGCAGAACCATGTAACAGTCTGAGTACAGGACTGCAGTGTGAGATGGACCCTGTTTCACAAACACAGGCCTCGGAAGCCTTGGCTGTCAGAGGCTACAGTGTTATTGGCTGGTACCATTCTCATCCTGCCTTTGATCCCAACCCTTCCCTACGAGATATTGATACCCAAGCCAAATACCAGGTGTGTTATGGGTCTTATGTGTATGCATTCTGTAAATGATTGCAGATTCTCCCCCTCATTGCTTTCTAGTACATAAATGTACTTTTAAGGTTCCTAGCGAAGTATTGCGTTTCTGATGTACTTTACATCTGGAGTATTTAAATAACTTGCATTTTTTTCTGATTACAAGAGTAATACATGTTTATTTAAATTTTGGGAAATGAGCTATTTTGTTTAATACAGACAAGCCATCAAAGTAACAGTGATAATTATTCCCAGAGCCTTAAATTTTTTTTTTTCTTAGAGCAGTGTACTAGTCAACTAACTTTGATCCAATTAACTAAATTTGATTTAATTGGATCAACTTATGGCTAATCACATGCCCTCGCCCCCCTGATCAAGTGCCCTCTTCTGGCTCATCATGTGGCCCCACCCCCTTGAGACCTTGGATGGTCTCTGTTTCCAGGGTGCCATCTCCCTGGTTGGCTGTCTGGCCCTGCTCTCCCACCTGTCAACAGTGCCTTTGCCAAAGTACTTCCAGAAAATCGTTTGTGTGTACTGTCTTTTTTTCTTTCTGCTGGGACTGTGACAACTGGTATTGAAAAGGAGAGAGGAGAGCAGTGGCCCGTCTAGGGTCCATGCAAGAGGTCCAGAGTGGCCTGTGCAGTCTCTGGAAGGCTGCGGGAGGGAAGGGTGGTGAGGCGGGGGTGCTGACTAGTGAGTGGGAAGCCCTCAGGGCAAATGGGGCACACACACAATCACCCCACACTCCTCTGTGAGGAGCAGCTGTGGCCCATTGTACAGGTGAGGCTACTGCAGCCCAGAGAGGGTGAGTGACTTCCTCGAGGGCAGCTGGCAGTAAAAGGGCAGAGCTAAAATTGGAACTCTCTGGTAGCCCACATCCTATGTCTCTTTTACCTATGACCTCTGGGTAAGCGGCCCCTCACCCTGTGGCCATTTGCTCTGATGGGCTTCCCCCTTCCCCCCATCCCTTCTCCTCTACCCCCAGGGGACAGAGGTCCTGTCATTGCACCTGTGCCTCTGGGCGGCTGCTCTCTTTGTCCCTGAGTCACTCCCAGCTGGTAACCTTGGTGGAGTCCCACTGCATTGGGGTGAGGGTCTTATGTGGAGAACGCCCCACCTCCCCTCGCCTTCTGTGGCTTAGATTACAAAGTACCTTTATTTTTCTTTTGGCTTCTGCCACCTGCCTCCACTGGCAGATTTTGTTTTACTAGTACATCGAAAAGAAATGGATTCAGGGTCTCCAAACCGGCTGACTTCCTGCATTTGCTCAGTGAGACGAGGCTCTGCCCCCAGAGCCTTTAAAAATTGATGGGAACAATGAGGACAGGGACTGGGAATAATTGAAATAATCAGAAACATATATTTTGCATCTCTGAGAAATACAAAGTTTTATTTTATTTTGCAATTTTATGCTTTTACTATAGGCAGCTATTTGTAAATTATTACCATATTGAGAAAGAATATAGCTGATGGGTTGTGAATATAATTAGTAAATATATTCATGGCAAATAAAGATTTTTTTTTAAGGTTGGGCTGAACACATTTGGCCTGAAAACTTTAGTGTGGAATGACTATAAAAGACATTTCATTTAGTTGCTCTTTGGATCTGAATTTTTAACACACCTTTTTGTTTAAAATGTTGGTATGGATAAATACTGACTTTTAAATTTATGTAGTTCAAACTAATTGTACTTTACCTTTCATTGTAGAGTTACTTCTCCAGAGGTGGTGCCAAGTTCATTGGAATGATTGTTAGTCCCTATAATCGAAACAATCCTTTACCATATTCCCAGATTACCTGTCTGGTTATAAGTGATGAAATTAGCCCAGATGGCTCTTATCGTAAGTTTTCAACAAAAACAACTTCACCCTATTTCTATCTTTACTTCTTAGAATTCTACAAATCAAAGAATTTACAATTATGTGAAACTAGGTGCCTTGCACCTGGGAAATGACCCCCACTCTGTAGATTTTTGTAGAATGAATAGTATTGACATTAACTTCGGTTCAAAATGCACATAGCACATATATACATCATTCTTTAGCCAGTAGAATTGTACAACACGTTAAAAAGGAAGAATCACAGTTAATTTGTTCTCAATTTAGATAACTTCTTAATCTCACAATCTGGATTTTGGGAGTGAACCTCTACTCTGATGCTGCTCAATACAGTAGCTACTGGCCACATAGAACTATTTAAATTAATTAGAATTAAATGACCCAAAACTGGACAAAATAGTGAGCCCCAAATTAATCAAACTTACTAACTTGGAAGAATTTCCAGGCATGGCACAAGGAGGAGAAACCCACCCAGAGCTAGGCTGACTCTGAGTTGAGGTGATGGAGGTGAGACCAAGGCAGCTAAATTTACAGGACAGAGGGCCAGAGATCAGAAGATCACATAGATTGTAGAAGGTACAAATTTAGTACTTACCAAGAAATGGACAAGCATAAGCATGTGAAGAAACTACAGCAGATGGGAGAGAGAATCACTTGAAAGGATTAGAGGGAACAGTGCTGGATGTTCACATAAGACAGTGCCCAAGCATTCAACATTAGTGGAAAGTTCTGTTGGACAGAACTGCTTCTTAAATGGCTTGGCCATTATTAACACTGCTTATTAGGTTGTAATCTTAGGTCCTTTACTTTGCTCCTCTTGGAAATCTTCTGGTTCAAGAATTAAGAATTTCTAGAAGCCATGGGATACCTTATATTTTAGTACTTTTACTGGCTCTTTCTCCCTTCTTCCTTCTTTCCCCCTCTCTCTGTCTATATTTCTCTCTCTCTCTCTCTCTCTATTTCTCTCTCTCTCTCTCTCTCTCTCTCATATATCCAAATTCTATTTTTAAATGTCTCTACTGGTTAAGCATTTTCTGTACTTCTAATAAGCAGGATATATACTTAGTGATTAGTTTTCTTCTGGTTTTTAGTGGATTATTACCTTGCTTATAGGGATCCCCTCTCTCTGTCTATATTTCTCTCTCTCTCTCTGTCTATATTTCTCTCTCTCTCTCTCTCTCTCTCTCATATATCCAAATTCTATTTTTAAATGTCTCTACTGGTTAAGCATTTTCTGTACTTCTAATAAGCAGGATATATACTTAGTGATTAGTTTTCTTCTGGTTTTTAGTGGATTATTACCTTGCTTATAGGGAGTTGTAAAAGTTGTCAATAATGTGTGTAAAGTGCTTAGCAAATACTAGGGTCTTCAATAGATAGTTATAATTATAGCCATTGTCTGCGCTTAGTAGGTAATCAATGCATATCAAGTGAATGATGATCACCAAAGGGAGTTTGCTTAAAGGAGTCACTCTTCTTAAATTTTTGGAGGTGAGAAATGTAATGGAGGAGAATTGAGGAATGAAAAAAAGATAATTATCATCAAGTCCGCTGTTCCCTCCTTCCATACACATGGAAAAAAAATGGGGGAAGTATAGTCATATTTTTTTTTCTAATGTCTTCTGATTTGCTGGCTTTTATTTACTTGAAAAGCCTTATGATGTCAAAAACCCAGTTGAGAGGCAGTATAAATGGAAGGGTTAAGAACATAAGCTTGAGATAGAATGCCTGGGCTCAAATTCTGGCTCTACCTCTTACTGGTTATATATGTCCATGAACATGTTATTTAATCTCTCTGTTGCTCAGTGCAATTTCTTCCACTTTACTAGTCTGAACAGGTTGTTTAACCTTTGTCAGCCTCAGTTTTCTTATCTATTAAATAGGAATAATGGTACCTACCTTATAACATTGTTGTAAACCTTAATATAACCTGTATTTTAAAAAAACCACTAGAATGGTATATGTCTTGGTTTGCTTAGATTAGGCTCAGTTTAAGACTATTGTCATTCTGGCTCAATTCTTAGTAATGCCCCCTTTCACTCAAAAAGTCTCTTAAGTAATAAATTATGTGATCATTTTACCTCTCACAATTCCTTGCATAGAATTGTCATGCAAATAGCACTTTACTTTTCTTTATTATTATTATTAATTGCTTGGCATTAATATGCTTGGTGAACTAAGTTCAGCAAGGCAGTAAATATTTAATGGCGGCTCACTATATTGAAGTGCTGTTCAGCTGGTCTGCAAAGCTATGGTTGTGAAAACAGTGAAGGGATTTTAAGTAATTAAAAGGAGATTGGAAGAAGTCCAATGCGCTATCAGAAAAGATAAAATAAAATATAAATATATAAATAGGGAAAAGGAAATTGGAGATTTAAGAAATAGTTGATTAAAATGTGCTTCTTTCTGCTTTTCTAGGTGTACCTTATAAATTCGAAGTACAGCAGATGTTAGAAGAACCTCAGTGGGGATTAGTGTTTGAAAAGACAAGATGGATAATAGAAAAATACAGGCTCTCCCATAGGTATGTGCTGTGATTTGAGATGGTTGCATATCTGCAGCATTTCTCATTAAATTATGTTTTAGAGAAAACCCAAGTTAAATGTAAAATTGTGATGTATGGCATCAGGGATAGTTTATTGCAGAACTGATTAGTTTATAGTACTTGTTTCATCACTCTGTTTTCCTGTTTTTTACAACAGCAGTGTCCCTATGGATAAAATTTTTCGCCGGGATTCTGACCTGACTTGTTTGCAGAAAGTAAGCTGCCTTCATTTTAATTGGCTCTTTTGTTTGAGGATTCTAAAGCTATTTATCTCAATGTGTTTTCCCATGATGCCTAATGCTTTGTGGATACATTTTCTGTTTCTTTTATTGCTTTTTTTCTTTTTAAAATTAATTTCTAGGAGATAATTAGTAATATGTTTTGTTGCCCACACTTGCATATAGAAATAATACTATTTTAGAATAAATTTGTCAGTGTTAGCTGATAAATTTCTTAGCATATTATTGTACACAATAGAGAACATTTTTCTCATTTTATTAAATTCAAAAGCACCATGTTTCCATTTAGCTTTAACAATTGATCATTTTAAAGAATGGTATTATAAATCTAACAATTAAATTTAAATGGTCATCTTACTTAACTTCCTGGTAGGATATAAGAGTCCTGAATTCTTTTATTTCACTTCTAAGTTTGTTTATGAGTGTAATGGATTAAGACCAGTAGAGTGGCAACATTTCTCTCTCTCTCTCTTTTTTTGGTAGCAGTTTGGAAATAGAAAATGTAAACATGCTGTTTCTTTTATATTTTTACCCCCTTCTATTATAACCACTTTATCTGTCCTTTGTTGTAAGATTAATATGCACCTTTCCCAGGAAATAGACTGCAGCATCCTAATTTTGAAATGGTAGAGTCCTGTGTTTGTATTTACATAGATTTTTTTTAATCTTATCTGAGTTTTTTAAGAAAATTATTTTTATTGATTTCAGAGAGAGGGAGAAAGAGAGAGAGAAACATTGATCCATTGGCTGCCTCCTGGGCATGTGCCCAGATTGGGAATCAAGCCAGCAGCCTCCTGCTGCGTGGGGCAGCGCTCAACCAACTGAGCCACATGGGCCAGACTGGATATTTTGTTTTGTAATGTAGCTACTAAGAAAAGGAGCACAGGCCCTGGCTGGGTGGCTCTCAGTTGGTTGTAGCATCATCCTGTGCACAAGAGGTTGCAGGTTCTGTTCCTGGTCAGGGCATATACCTAGGTTGCGGGTTCAGTCCCCTCTTGGAGCACGTGTCGGAGGCAGCTGGTTGATGTTTCTCTCTTAAATCTATGTTTTTCTCTCTCTCTCTACCTCTCTTTAAATACCAATAAAAACATATCCTCAGATGAGGATTAAAAAAAAACTCTCTCTCTCTTTACCTCTCTTTAAATACCAATAAAAACGTATCCTCAGATGAGGATTAAAAAAAAAAGGAGCACAGTCACAAATTTGTCCAAAGTAGAAAGCATCACATATGCACATACAATATCAAGTGTGTTTCCTTATGTAAATAATAAAGGAACTAACCTAAGCAGTCAACAGTGGCTTCCTATACTCCTGCTGCACGGTTACTGTGCACAAGTTTATCGTCAGCCATATGTAAGAAGAATGTTTCTCATTTGAGCATTAGAAAATGTGAGATTTATCATTAAATAAGGATAATAATATAAACCTTATATTTTTCGTGTGTTTAAATGTAAAACTTTTCTTTTCAACTAGCTTTTGGAGTGTCTGAGGAAAACTCTGAGCAAAGTGACAAATCGCTTCATCGCTGAAGAATTCTTGACTCAAATAGAAAATTTATTCCTTTCCAGTTATAAAAGCAAGCAGGAGAATGGAGTGGGTGAAGACAACTGTACTGTAGGTCCAAAGGAATTGTTAATGTAGTGATTTTAAAGTAAGACATTTTAATCTTGACACAATAGGTCCCACTGCCATTTACAACCTTGAATGATTGTAATTTAGTTAACAGTGACACAGCTTTGATACTTTTCTCTAGTTCACAAAATCGGAACTTTGCCACATAAATCATGTGACAGAAAGAGATAGGGACTTGTTTTTATGTAGTGAGTACCAGAGTTTGTGTAAATGGGTTTGCCACATTGCTCCTGTCCTGTGAGCGGTGGCCAGCAAGCAGAGCAGCAGACTGACGGGCTGTCTGCTTTACTGTTGTATTCAGGTTGATAAGCAGAATGTGTCTCTAATTTTTATTTCTCCCTGAACTAGTCATTCCATTTTTGGGATCTCATGTCTCATTAGGAGCACTTCCATCCTTTCCATGTGTTTTGGTGAGATTTGTTTATGGTTGCAAATGAGATATGGATGGGTGGTCCCAGAGGTAATTAACGTGGTTGAAAATTACTGATTTAATAAATCTAACAAC